CCAGATATCTTAGTTTACTTGTTGGCAGGGAAGGAGTAATTTGTCCTTCAATTTTTTCTTTTGTCTTTTCTCCTTCATTTCAAGTTGCCAAAGGACATATTTTTCTTCTTTTTTTGCCTTTGATCTCTCCCAGAAGAAGCTTTGTATATGGAAGACTGCTTTTGTAAAGTATACATATTTTAAATCTTCTTCCTGTAGCTTGTATCTATTTGGACTTTTGAAAAGTATTCTCAGACTTAGGGTAGATTTAATGTTTTCTAGAGGTTGTTTTTGGTCAACCTTAAGTCCCACTGCTAGTTCCCCTCTTCTGTATAGTTTTATTGAATCTGCCCTCCCTTACCTTGTAACAAGAGGAGACACACTGATACTTGTTTTTCTTTTTTACTTAACAGTTAATTTGGTGTTTGGGCATTCTCTATCCTCAAATAATGCTGATGGGGTATTTTGTGCAGTTTTATTTCCCCTATCTTGTCCTACACCAGTTCTGAAGGAAACACTGGGAGATGGGGACCTAGTATAGTACCATTGTCTTCAGCAACCTGGAAGTCTCAGCGTGTATTTTGATTTTTTTAAAAAAGATCTGTTCAACTGCCTCTAACAAGCAGCTTTCTGGCCATCAGCACTGTAAATCTAAAGGCTATTGAGCACATAAAAGTACTGCTTCTTACCAACAAACACTGCATGGGCCACCTCTAATGGCTGGTATTAAGAGTGAAAATCCATGGTTGGATTTTCAGAGAGTAGGCTACCTGTTCTTGCTCTGGCAAAGGCTCCTTGTTTTGATACTCAATTGTCATTCTCAGTTTCACCATAACCTAGATGAGAAAAAATTCTCCAAGAATTCTACCTGGAGGCAAAGGAGTTACAATAAATGGGTTTTTGCTTAGTACATGAATATATCACACTGAGACACTCTTTTCTCTCCTTACCCCCAGAACCCCCCACCATAATTAGTATCCTGCCACTTACAAGTTCATTGGAGCCAAAAGTTCAATCATGTGGACAGAAGTTGATCCCAGGCAATTTCTCTTTCATGTTGCCCTTGGGATAACATTTTTACTATGAACTTTTTACAATTGGCTCCCAGCCTTGCCCAAACAACTCTTTAGGCCCTTTACCACTCGAAAACTGTGTTTTCTGTGTTGAATTTTAAAAAAAGGTTAAAATATTATGTGAAAATATGGATTTAGAAACATTTGTTTCAATCCCTTCCCTATAGCCAGGTCCACAATAGCCTTATGTTCCAAAGAAATGATCAGAAATTAATTTCCTAGAGGTTAAATATCTAGCAGGGCTGGTCTCTAATAGGAAACAGATATAGTCTCTGGCTATAAAATTTCAGAATATATTAGTAGGATGGAAGAGATACTATCATTTTAGGGATCCTTTCTCTGAAATTACCTCTTTTACCACCTTTTCCAAGGGAGGACTCCCAGATGGGCTTTAATTAGATACACCTCTTAATTTTTTTAGCTCACAGCGTTTTAAGCTAAATTGGCTACTCCAGTTTCTTGTGAGTTCCCCTTGGAAAACTTCTGATGTAGATTAATCAACAAGATATTAAGCATCCCCTCTTCCTACTTGTGGGACCTGTGGGCTTAACTTTGGAGCCATTGCCAGATGTCACCAGATAGATGTCTCCCTTGGAAATTTAAAATATCCCATGGTCCCCTTAGGAGTTCACTGCAGTGTCCTAGGGAATTTCAGCACACAGTTTGGGAACCACAGATATATAGCTTTGCATACTTTTCTCCTAACTCCTTCTCTCTCTGTGTGTATACTGTACACTCAGATGTTTTTGTGATCATACTATATACAATTTTATAAACTGTTTAAAAATCCCTGATCATGAAACATAAATTTTTTCCATGTCATCAAATATTCTATCTCACAATTTTTGATATTCCATTCATATATAAATACATACACATATATCAGGATTCATTAAATTAAGCTCCTATTGTTAGATACCTATGGTATCTATAACTCTCTTTTGCTATTATAAACAGTGCCTTGATGAACACATTAATAAATAAATCTTTACATACACCTACTATTGTTTGCATTAAATTCCTAGATGTAGAATTGCTGAATCAAAGGGTGTAAATGAGTTTTGCCCTCAAAAAATGGTGTGATAATTTATACTTCTTCCAGTCTTTTTGAAATATTTTTTTTAGTTGTAGTTGGACACAATACCTTTATTTATTTATATTTATGTGGTGCTGAGGATTGAACCCAGGGCCTCGAACGTGCTAGGTGAGCACTCTACCACTGAGCCATAACCCCAGCCACTTCTTCTAGTCTTAATTGTGAGTAAACATTACAGGCTTTTAATTTGCTGGGAAGAATTTTAATGTAAATGGTTATAGATTAAGATATTAAGATATCCAGATATTTTAGGCACATATGCTGAGCACTTTCACACATATGATATAATCTTATTTATATAACATCATTAATTCTTAACAATCTTGTAAAGTTGAAATTATCATCCCTGTTTTACAAGATGAAGAAATATGGATTTTAAAAAGATAAAATATTTTTTTCCGGATTATACAACCAAAAGGTATAGCTGGGATTTAAATCCAGTTAGACTTATGATCTTATCACTATGTCACAGATAGCTCAACTACTTGAATGGCAAATCATCATCATCATCATCATCATCATCATCATCATCATTATCATCATCATCTTAAGGCCTGAAATTTCTGGAATACATCAAGTACTGTTCACATGTTTTAACATATTCAATCCTTAGTGACAAACCTATGAAGTACTGTCTACTCTTATCCTTGAGACACTGAGATGATGAGCTTCTCCAGGATCATACAGCTAGGATGTGATAGAGCTGGTATTCAAATCCAGGCAATGTGGCTTCACAGATTATGCCAGTAATGACCAAAGTATGATAGCTGGTAGAGTTGTGGAAGACTACATCAGAATCTTACCCTGAATGCTTTTTTTTAGAAGAAAAATGGCTTAATTCTCATAGATGAGTGAATGAGAGTTACTATCTAAGAAAATGTCTATCCAGCAATTTTCTAAAAACTATGAATCTAGGAATTTGCCTGTGAATTTCCTGTTCTTATATATCTGAGACCTTTATTCATTTATCAATATCCAGCTTTATAAGTGGAATGCATAGAACCATGCTCTAGCCAGGTCTAAGGGACATGACTTGAGTGGAAATTCTTCCAATGAACTTGGTGACCCAAACTCCATTGGAGAAATGAAACCAAATTTCCCCCAATTTATTTAGAAATGCTAAATATTATCAATTGAGATGGGCAAATTTTCCAAAGTAGTGTCTTATTGATGACCCTGACTTCAATGTTTTTTGGGTAAATGAAGCACCCTCATTGCTATTCATTATTTTAAGGCTTTCCTATAGTCTTACTTTGGTATTTAGACATTATTAAAATTATGCAGATTATGAGAAAGGGTTATATTTTTATGTCGTTTCTGTAAACACTCAAAATTCTTCTCTCTTACCTCCCTGCACAAGAAAACCAACTTAATGAGCCACAAAACATTTTTTAATGAATGGGAAAAATATTTTTAGTATTTTTATGCCAAAAATGCCTCATTAAAAACAAATGCTTCGGCAAGCAGATTTGAGCTTAATAAGAACTTCTGCCGAGCAGGGCCTTTATAACAAATCACTAGCATGTGTAACTGCTCCATCAGAAGAACGAGAAACCCATAAGAGGCTCTCACCTCCCTTTCTCATCCTTGGGCTACATCACAGCAATGTAATGAGTGTGACATAAGTGTGCATTTAAGGAGCACTGAGGACATAGAGCCTGCTGCCTAGCTGCAAATAGGAAAAAAATGACTATATATGTCCAATATCACTCAAAGTCCTAATGGATATGTTATATCATGAAAATTCATTTAGGTGAAATATATTTTCATCTAGATGTTTGCTTATCTTGGTACATGAATATTCTGCACTATTTTGTGTATTGTACAAGCCATAAGGGTGCAGGGTTGAGAGTCCTACATACAAATTTAATTTCAAATAAAAGCCTCAATTAGTACTGACACTGTGGTAACTTCTTTAGACTTTGGGCCTCAAAGAATAAGAAAGCAGAGTGCAGACGTGAAGGCAGGCAGTATGGGCTGATTTGGTCACAGAAACCATTGTTCCTCACTTTAGTGATACCCATCTCAGAGGCATAAAGTACTCACTTGTCCCCATTGAGGCCCCAGAAAGCACATCTGGGGTGACATGTTTGCAAGTTACTCATAGTGTTTGCAGGTATTTTGAGCCAGGATCAGCTTTATCATCTGTGACCTATGCTTGGGGTTACAGCCATATTCACCCCCCCTGGATAAGGGTGAAATCACCAACAGTGATGACCTTACCAAGGTAGAAAATTACCCTGGAGAATGATCCTCCTTTGTAGAATGAGAAAGCATGAAATGATGACACAATTTCTCTTCATGGTGATTTTCCACATCACTTAAGTTCTTCTCCAGCTTTTCCCACTGAGTCAGCCATGTTATCACTTGACTAATAGTAACAGTAGTTGTGGTTGACATTTATGAAGGTCTTACTCTGTGTTAGTCACTGTGCTAAGCTCTGTCACACGCATTATCTCATTTCATCCTCAAGCCCTGCAAACTCAATACTATTAATTCCTCCATATTACAGATGAGGGAACTGTGGGCAAGGAAGGTAAATTACTTGCCCTAAATTCTTTAGCTTGTAAGCAGAACTGGGATTCAAAGTAAATTTGTTTTCTGGTTTTAAGTTTCTTAACTAGTATTCACTGCATTGTGCAACCAGTTAATGACAAAATATATCTATCCCTAATCTATTTCGCCATAGAGGCATTCCTTTCAGAAATGAAAGGGGGAAAATGTATTTGTTCCCAAGTGCCATGGTTTGCTCTCCCAGTCAGCTCAGCTCCTTCACTGGGAGGAAACTGACTCCCAAGACACTCATGTTTCCCGGCCAGCAAGCACAGGGCTGTGGTGGCCATCAAGCTTACCGTTAGGAAGTGGCGGTCCTTCACCTCGCGCCTCCTCTGGCTGTGAGCTGGAGGGTAGGCTGGCAGTGGTGGAGCAGCGATGGAAAGAGGGACAGCAGCTCTCTGCTCTCGGCGATCACTTCGGCTCCGGTGTTCTAACAGGGCAGAAAAGCAGTAATACTGAAATACACTTAGCATTTTCAATTTCTCTTTTCCCCTAGGGAGTATTAGCAGAAGGCTATTAAAAAGAGTCATCTTTTATGACGCTTATATTATTTATATGCCAAATCAGATTTTCAGAATGGTTCCTACCTAAACTTTCACTTATGATCAGCGTCAAGTTAGATACATCCATTTCAGTGGGTCCATCTCATAATCTTTGTAGAAAATAGCTTACTTCTGAGTGCAGTGTGCCTCATTTCAAAACAACATGAGTATAAAAAATGTTGAGGACAATGGTGAAAGATCTGCTGCCGTTAATGCTGGCGTGAAAGTAGAAACAAACATATCAAAGTTGCCCAGGCTGGGCCCTGGAGCCAGCTCCCACTAGCTCAGGGGAACTCACTGCTCTGGATTCAGGAATTTGTGTGAGTCATTTTTTCAACGGTTGGTACCTGGAAATAGACCATGGTGGGAGTATTTATATCACAGAAATTGGTAAGTGCTACACAACAGGGCTTTTATTTATCTTATCATATTTTTTACCAGAAAACTGGGTGACCAGCACATAATTGTAGCCATCTAAGCCCTGTCACCCACACATGAAACTTAGAGTGCTTTGAAATCCTGGACTCCCAGAGAAAGTAAGGCAATCCCAATGGCAATGTTTGTCTGATTTTGGAACAAAGCTATCATTTGTTTTTTTATTTTATTTTATTTTATTTTTTATTCTAACTTGTTATATACGACAGCAGAATGTATTACAATTCATATTCAAAGCTATCTTTTGAAAAAGCTAAGTATCTATGTGTGGGATTAAGGGATCCTGACTGTATTCACTGAGATAAGGCCCTGTGTTTGATCCTCAGCAACACACACACACACACACACACACACACACACACAGAGAACACAGTTTAGTAGTTGTCCAGTATCTTATGTGCACCATCTCAACAACCCCACCAAATGGGCACTAATGCTCTCCCTCTTTTACAGATACCCAAACAGATTCAGGGAAGGTAAGTCATTGTGGAGCTATGAGTGGTACAGCCTTAGCTCAGTGTTTTGCTCTTGACTACCACTTAACCTGCAGGTACTATAAGGTCCCACTGCACCTCACTCATTGGAGCAAGACTATTTAATTATAATTACATTTTACCACATTCCAATTCTTTGAATAATGATATCATAAAATAGAGTATTTGGTAACATATAAGATACTACCAAGTTTTCTTTCTTTTCTTTAGCTAGGAAACAGAGCTAAGATGAGCCTATCAGGTAATATCAGCTGCCCTATCATACCCATTTCTATACTTGTGTTGATAAAAATACCATCTCTCCATCTTTTATTCTCTTTCACTAGAAATTGGCCCCTGGAAGAGAGAGATAATGTTTCATTGAGCTTTTGAACACAGGGTCTACAGTGCTTGTTACAAAATAGATTTTCAGTGTGTGTTTGTTGAGTGGCTAAATTAACAAATTAATGCTTTTGTTAAACCCCAGTTTAAAAAAAATTGCAGTGCATTCCATATTCTGTATTTATTCTATAATTATAATGGGCTTTGTTGGTGGTACTCTCATTGCTAGGTACTTCTCTGAGTCCCATTGCTTGTTTTTTTTTTTTAAGAGAAAGATTGACATTTATTTTTTAGTTTTCAAGGGAGACAACATATTCGTATGTGGTGCTGAGGATCGAACCTGGGCCGCACGCATGCCAGGCAAGCGCGCTACCACTTGAGCCACATCCCCAGCCCCAGCCACATCCCCAGCCCCCCACTGCTTGTTTTGATCCACTTCCCTAATGCCGGTCAGATTCTTCTGATTCTCCTTTGCTTTATTCAGTGTGCTTAGTGGAACTAAGCACTCTCCAGCTTTCTGATTTTACATCCATGTCTGATGTGGCTGTCTGTGGGCCTCATCACCTGAACTGCTGACTTCGTATCTGTGCTAGGAAAATGTGATCATATTCCTCATCTCCAGTTGCTTGGGATTCTTTCCAAAAATGTTGGCTCCCATTTGCAATCAGAGGAAAGTCCTCAAAACCACGTAGGTGGTCTTTGTTAAATTGCCTCCAGAGTCAATGTTTATCAGGAAGACATTTTGAGATAAATGTCTTCCTTGTTAAAGCGCCCACCTCCAATGCCACCCTCATTTTTCTCTGCAAGCCAAAAAAGCTTTTCTAAATGGGCAGCACAAGGAATACCTTTTACATTTTAAAACTCATCAAGAAGAGTAAAATACAGGTATTATTGGTTAGGAAGAGGCAGAAGGAGGAGAGAAGTTAGGAGAGAGATATCAGCTCAATTTCCCATTCAATTGCTCCTCTCCCATACTGTCTTAAATATATCTTTTTCTTTGCCCTAGGCTGGATGTAGGCAGGCTAGATTAATGGCTCTTTAGTAACATTTTTTTTGCCAGTGGTGTGGTAGGGAGAATACTGGTCTACTCGAATTTGAAACTGCAGTATCTATACAATAGAAGCTTGGTTCTTATTCCCTTAAACCAATGAAACTGATCCCAGCCAGAAACTTTAAAGGAAAGGAAACATAAAATATAATTATCTCCTTATAGTTACTTATTAATCTCTCTTCCTATTTTATGAACATAAAACATGGCATCACTTGAAGCTCTGACTGGCTCTGAGCATTAAAGAATGCTGAGAAAAGGAGGAAAATAATTGGAATAATTTGAAATCAATAGAGATGCTGCTTCCTTTGGGGAGACTTCCTTGAAGCTCCTTGGCATGATTAGGCAGGTACCTTTCGTCTCAGCTCCCATATCACAGGTAAGTATTAAACTTACCTGGTTACATGTCTGTCTCCCTCAGTAGACCAGGAATTCCTTGTGGGCAGAGACAACACTTTATTGCTTTTTGAATCCTGAGCTCCAGCACAATGCCTGGCCTTCGACAGTTTGTTGAGGGGTTTGCTATTACTCAGGGCTCGAAGGCAGCCAATTTCTAGGTTTTTAATCTTGGTCCCCCAGCTCCCTCATTATAGCCTCATTTCCAAAAGGAACACAGAGTTGCAGCCACGGCAGCCTCCCTAGTCTGTGCTTCATCATCCACTCCCTCCCGAAGGAAGCCAGCCTATTCCAGCTGTCCAAATAGAGAACCTACAGGAAAGCTCACTGCGGCATTTGCTGAGCCAGGCCATGTGTGAGAGGTCAGTATTATTCATGACCACCAGATGGCAGAAGTGGATTATGCTGATAGAAACACTGCTAAGCTACTGTGTTTCTTGGACAAGGTTAAAAAAAAAAGTCACTTTCTAATTTTAATTCTACACTGCATGTTTTTAATTCTATGATGTCTATAATTCCTGTTTATGGCTCTCTGCAGTGCTATTAAAACTACTACACCCAAGATTTGCTATTGAGCCAACCACAAAACAAGCCAGTCTGTGGAGGGCAAGACGCAGCTCCATAGTCTTCCCTCCAAACCCCAGGAGACCCCATATCCCTCTCTCACTACCCCCAGGAGGAAGTTCAGAGAAAATTGATATTGGCACTTGCTATTCTTCAGTTCTGCCATTAAGTCCAAACCTGACAAAGCAGTGAAATGTGATAGCTTAAGAGCAGCTCAGTGTTATCTGGTTGAATCCATAAAAATCTAATCAGGGAGGACTGATTAATAATAATAAAGGGATAAAAAGAATTATGTCTAAAGGGCTAATGTTACTCAAGCTCTCCAGTGATCAGATCTGAGAAAGTATTTAGTGAGAATGATCAGATTTCTCTGTAGTCATCTTGTGCCCTCAATGCTTAATCAGTTTTCTGCAGAATTTGATTCATTTCCATAAACATTCATTGAGGACTATAGGCTGGGTTCATGCCAAGTACTTTGAATAAAATTAATTGATAAGATATTATCCTTTCCCTTGAGTTGCTCATGGATTAATGGTGGAAGACAAGCCCATGGTGGTTAGGTATGACCAAAGGTTATAAGTGGCACGATGAAAGGATATGAAGGATATTACAGGAATGGCAGGAGTGGAAATGAACATTTCCAGGTGGCTTGCACTAAAAATTTGTTGAAGAATTTTTTAGCCAACTATTAGTTGAAGTGAATGGAAAGCATGCCAGAGATACTTCTAGAAGACACTGATCCTTTCTTTTCATTATAAGTGTCACAGTATCTGTCATTGACAAACAAAGGGATTGTTTGAAATAATTGCTTTAGGGATATTAGTAGGTTAGCTCTTTCATTAAAAGGAAAAATGACAATAGGGGACAAGGCAGAAGCCACACAAATGTGGAAGAAAATAACCTAACAATATTTATCATCATTTTATTTCTCTGTCTTGATAATGGTATTAACATATTTCATATGCATTATATACTTTCAAAAAATACTATTCCTTAAAAGAGTGTAGGGAATTTGGAACAAAGACAATAGATGTGTAGACACCATCTGTCTCCATAGCAAGACTCCAAAGACCAAAAAAGCTAGCATGCCAACTTCTTATGTCCCATTTAGGGGTTTCTGAAAGGATGACGCTCATTTTTAACTCCTTTATCTCAGTCAAAATTGTTTGAAGAAAATCAAAAGTAACTAACAAAAGAAAAAGCTATATTTCCACTTTGACTGCTATGTACCCATGTCTAGCAATGTCAGGACTGTGAGAGAAATGTAAATATATATTTCCATGAAACACAGTGTACGGCAAGGAGGAAAAGAGCTCTCACTGGGGGTCCAGAGGCTCAGGTCTGAGTCCTGACACTACCTAACCTGCTCTGCATGACCCTGAGCAAGTTTTCCCATCTCTCTAGCCCTCCATGTGCCCCGCCCCCCCCCCTTGTAGAATGAAGGTGTTGGTTCAGCTCACTGGTTCTCAACAGAAACAGAAGAGCCCTTGAAGGGCTTGTTCTGATTGTTAGAATGAATGGGCAGGAGTCTCAAACATGACAGCCATACTGTGATGTATACGATGGTCAATGAAAAAGGATCCCAGGTCCCACACAATATTTAAATGTCCCATCTGAATGTCTTATAGGGAAAAAAACCTAGAACTTATTTTTGAGTTGAACCTAACTCCCTTATAAATTATAATCCAAAGTATTTTTTTCTCTCATATCTAATATATGCTGAATGTACTGGTTTTTATGGTTGTGTCCTCTTGTCCCACAGGAGTCCTCCAATTCTCTATGCTTATTGTTTGGAATGGTTTCTGATTGTCTTTATTTAATCAAAACTTATTTTTAAAATATCTATTTTTTTAGTTATAGGTGGACACAATATCTTTATTTTATTTTATGTGGTACTGAGAATCAAACCCAGTGCCTCACATATGATAGGTGAGCACTCTACCTCTGAGCCACAACCCCAGCCCCAAAACTTATTTTTGATAGGTGCAAACATCTAACTGATTTAACTTTCTTTTAATGTAGTTGTGACTGGGCATTTGCATATTGAATTATATGTTATTATAAATTCTTTTCTTTTTAATATCTCTATTATCATATTTAGATACTAATCCTAATCTTATTTATTTATTTAAATTATTTTATTTTTCATATTCTTATTGGTGCATTATAGTTGTATATAATGGTAGATTTGTTGTTACATATTCATACATGCACACAATATAACAATATAATTTGGCCAATATCATTCCGTAGTATTTCCCCTAATAATATTAATTTGAATATGGGTGTAGGTAGGTTATATTACCCATAGATTTTAATTAGGATAGAAAAGGGAACATTTTGAGGTACTTGCTATAACAAAGGGAGATGTTGGGACCTATGGGACCAAGAACCTCCAGATGGGGCAACCTCTGAGCTCTCCCAGAAAAGCCCCAAGCCTGGATCACTTACCTCTGCGCAGGGCTTGCAGGCTCTGCCGGGCGTGGCGGTGCAGCTCCTCCACACATGGGGGCCGGGTGGCCGGGAGGAAGATGTTTCGCTGCTGGTGCCAAGGTGCGCGGTAGTACACGCTCAGCTTACTCTCAATGTCCAGGTTGGAGACGGCTGCAAAACAAAGGGGTGAACAGGTATTAAACATCAGTGGCTTTAAGTTGTTTGTTTCATGGACTCTGGGGTCAGAGGTGGACAGGGAATGGAATCTGGGTGCAGTGGAAGTCCATGGACATGAAGAACTAACTCAAAGCTGGAGAAAAGTTTGAAAAAGATAGGGACAACCTTTGCCCTTGAGCCAAGGGATACGAGACCCCAGGACACCAACTGCCTGCCTATGACCAGTTAACTTCCTCTCCATCCCTTGACTCCTTGCCCTCTTACAGTCATTTGTCAACCTTGACAAGCCCATAGCCAATCCACTTGGGGGAGCAGGTGAGGGTGGGAATCCTGCCATCCAAGAATGTTCAGGAAAGCATCAGATATGAATGTGAAGTTTGCTTTAGCTCCAGCCTTCTGACCATAGGGCAGAAGTTGTAGTTCTGTATGCTGCTCCTACTGTTCACCTGAACCTTGGCCCATTCCCTGCCCTGTTCTCTGTCCCTTGTGATTCCCTGGCCCCAAGGATTCCTTATCTTTCCCTCCACCTCCCATTTTCATTGCTTGCTAGCTTTTGAAGTATCGTCCACTTTTCCTTTCACCCAGGGTAAGCACAGCTTTGAGGAGACCAGTTGGGGAGGGCAATGGGTATTGAGAGAAGGAAACTGCAGACAATATGGTACTTGAGGCTCATCTAAGTGATCAAGGAAGGAAGTTCTTCTCATGCCACCCCGGGGAAAAACAGTATTTAACTCCCTACTGCCTTTATATATACATGGTACCTAGGATGGAACCCCCCAACAGCTGAAGATGAAACCTTATGGAAGTAGGTATTAGGAACCAGGAGGATTCTGATTAGGAGGTGGCTTCCCAGAGGAACTCAGGAGCACTGGGCAGTCTTGCAGCCTCAGGAATAGCGAGAACAGCCCCAGTTGGCTTCACTCTCCAACCCGCTGTCCAGGCCTAGGCTGTTGGCCTGGGCTTACCCCACTACCCCCAGTCTCATCCCCTCTTTCTGCTTCTTTTCCTCTTTATCCAGTGTATGATTTGGAAGAGCTCTTCCCCACTGTTTACCCCTGTGCCCCAAACAGCCTTTTGATTCCTCTCTGTACCTTTTCTTTTTGAAGTCTGGCCTACCATTTCACTTTGAGAAACCTTACATGGAACAAGACACTCTACAGAAAATGAAAAAAGGAAAATGGAAAAGAAGGGAGAAGATATTCATAGAAGTGGAATAGAAGAAAGAAAATGGGGAAATGCAGCCTTTTGATGATTAATTGCCTCCTTCCCTACCAAGTACCAAAGTTAGTCCTGAAGACAGAAGCTCACTTATCCACCCTTGGAGGAATGCTCGGTCCAGTTCATTGACTGAGATTGACTAAAAAAATCAGCAGCAGGGGCTGGGGTTGTGGCTCAGTGGTAGAGCACTTGCCTAACATGTGTGAGGTGCTGGGTTTGATCCTCAGCACCATATAAAAATAAATAACTAAAATAAGGTATGTGTCCACCTACAACTAAAAAAATATTTAAAAAAAGATCAGCAGCAGTCAATTCTGGTCCAATGCTGGTGGTGGTGGGGATGAGTCATTACCAAACTAAACAGAAGTGACTATGAATTCATGTGCTGGTGACAGCTTGGAGAAGGAACAAACAAAGTTTGCCTTTGAAAAAAAGGGGCAAGAAATTCAGTGAGCAGTCCCCAAAGTAGAAGGGCTTCTGAGGACCCCCTACCCCCAGGCCAGTCTTTTTAGGCAGGGCTGATTCTAGGTGACTGCAGGTAAACCAGAAGACTCTTAAAGCCCATCAGTATCTCAGTGCCACTGGACAGAAGCTCAGGGTATTAGGTTTGACAACTACTCAGAAACCGGGTCAAATGTTCATGGCTCCTCAAATCTTTGTGTGGGAAGAGCTGAACTCCTGTTATTTGTATCAGTGTTGGTCTAAAGAAAAGACTTACTAGAAGTGTTTGTCAAAAATGCAGAATTCTGACTCCCTGAGCCAGAATTGCCAAGAGTCCTGATAATCTGTATGTTTGAAAAATGCCCTGAGGTTATTTTTATTATCAGGCAAGTTTGAGAAACACAAAACATCTTTTGAAGATGCCTTGGGATCATCTGGGAGTGAAAGGAATTGGGTACCGTGGGAGAAGGGAAGAGATTGCCAACAATGGAAATATCCATCCACTCATGAACATCTCCCAACCAGCTATTAGTGCTAGGTTCCTTGATGCTGGGATACAGCACAGAACAAACACAGAGGAATCCCTGCCCCTTTGGGCATATTTCCTCTGGCTTTGTATGAAAATGGTTTAGATATGATTCTGTCTGGAAGCAATAGGTTAGGAGAAATGCCTTCTGGCATACTCTTTCTTTTCCCTAGGGTTGGTCTAAGACCTCTAAACTCTAGAGGCTCTAAATACCAAAAAGATTATAGTTCTCGCTATTCTTTCTGCAGTAGATGATCCCAAATTTCAGAATAAATTAGCATATCATAAAATAAGGGCAAAGAAATTCAGCAACCTTTTTCCTCTTTGCTAAATATTAAATATGAAAAAAGTATTAATTTTAGTGTCCCTCCTTTGCTGTTGCCCTAAACACACTCCTACTGTGCCTACTGGGCAAGCCAGGGCTGAGTTTCTTGGCTGCTGAACTCCGCCTGCTGCTCAGAACTGTGGATTTGCAGATGCAAAGACTAGCAAGCACATGAGTTCCAGTATGGGTGGCCAAGTCACAGCCTTCAGGAAGAACCAATCCTCACAAGAACATCTTTCAGGGCTACGGGGTCCCCATCTCTCCCTGTCCCAAATCATTTTCTTTCTCCACCGAGAAGCTATAATGGATTTCTGCCATGCATTAGCAGGTGCACAGTTCACTCATTAGTTGCCACAGTGGTGACTCTCTCTTAGGGAAGGAAAACTCTTTCATGACTTTGCTCTCAGTTATGTCCTTTTGCCACAGGGCATTAACTAGTATTACATGTCCACTGGAGGTAGACAGACAGGCACTAATGGAATTCTTTCAGGGAAAACTATATCATTTTCTCTTTTTAAAAAATCAATTCCTGCTGGGCACGGTGGTGCACACCTGTAATCCCAGTGGCTCAGGAGGCTGAGGCAGGAGGATCACGAGTTCAAAGCCAGCCTCAGCAATGGCGAGGTGCTAAGCAACTCAGTGAGACCCTGTCTCTAAATAAATAAAATAGAAAATAGGGCTGGGTAGATGTGGCTCAGTGGTTAAGTGCCCCTGAGTTCAACCCCCATTACTCTTACCCCCCCAAAATAAAATGGAACAAACAGAAGCAAGGTTATTCCTATGTTTATTTGGGTTCCCTCTGTGGTAGGCAGAATTCTAGGATGAACCCTAAGAGTCCTGCCCTCTCGGGTATATAACCTACATAATCCCCTCCTCCTGAGTGTGGGAAGAACCTGTGACTTGTGTTACTACATGGCAAAAGGATTTTAAGGTCCCTAGACTTTGAGTTAATAAATCAAGAGGCAAAGTATCATCTTAGATGGATCTGACCTAATCAGGTAAGCCCTGGGCAAGAGACAAGAAGCAGCAGAAACACACCCCTATTGACCTTGATGACGAAAACCTCCATGTTGTGGAGAGGGCCTTATGGCTTAAAATGATGGACAGTCTCCAGATGCTAAGGGCCTGGGTCCTATAACCTCTAAGAACTTAATTGTGCCAACAACCACTGAACTAAGGGGAGGACCCCAGTCTTCAGATGAGAACACAGCCCCAGCTGGTATCTTGAGTTCAGCCCAGTGGAGCTCTGAGAAGAAGACATAGTTAGCTCACATCCACTCTCTGCATGTGTGTGTGTGTGTGTGTGTGTGTGTGTGTGTGTGTTACTGGGGATTGAACTTAGAGGTGCTTTACCACTGAGCTATATCACCAGCCCTTTTTATTTTCATTTTGAGACAGGGTCTTGCTAACTTGCTGAGGATCTCAATGAGTTGCTGAGACTGTTCTTGAAATTCAGAGCTTCCCACCTCAGCCTCCCAAATTGCTGGGATTATAGATGTGTTCCACCACACCCAACACACCCCCAGACTCTCAACCCCTGGGTATTGCAAGATAATAAATGGATTATTATTATTTTTTTGGTACCCAGTGATGCTTAACCACTGAGCCATATCCTCAGCCCTTTATTTAGAGACAGGGTGTCACTGAGTTGCTTAGGGACTCATTAAGTTGCTAAGGATGGCTTTGAACTCACGATCCTCCTGCCTCAGCCTCCCAAGCTGCTGGGATGACAGGCGTGGGCCACCTCACTTGGCCTGGATTTGTCTTATACTGTTTTAAATAATTTGTTATGCGATAATAGAAATAATAATGGAGAACTTATGCACCCTCCTACTATTTTATCTACCTCCCTAGAGTCAGTCAGTCACTTTCTTTGTCATCTGTTCCCCTCTGTTACTGCTCCACAGGAAGGGGTAGATAATGGCAAGGGTGACAATGAGAGATAGGGCTATTCGTTTCATTTTTTTGCTCTCTACAATAGGAAAAGGGCTATTTGTGTGTATCATTTCTCCCATCTAAGACTGTAAGCTCTTAAGTGGAGCTCCAACCACGTGCCAAGCTCTAGGCCGGGTGCATTCTATCCATAATATCACGATCCCCTATACAACTTACATTACCCCATCTATAGACAAGGAAACAGAAGCTCAGAGAAAGTAAGCACATTTACAAAGTCATAACACCTGGTAAAGAGAAGATCTAGGATTAGAAACCTTCTCTGGCTTCTTAGCTGCATCTCTCTAAGTTCACCTAGGCTGAAGGTGATTGGGGTGAGGGAGGGGCAGTGAGCTATCTGCTGCATAAAAAGTATATAAGAAGGCCTGGGGTTGTGGCTCAGTGGTAGAGCGCTTGCCTTGCATAGGTGAGACACTGGGTTCAATCCTCAGCACCACATAAAAATAAGTAAACAAAATTAAGGTATTGTGTCCATCTACAACTAAAAAAAAATCTTAAAAAAAGTATATAGGAAAGGATTCTGCCATTCTT